GGACAGTTAAAGTGGACTCACTTTGCACTATTTCTAGCAGTCTGCAAAAGCTTGTAATTGTTTTTAAACTGCTTTTTATCATTTTAAGTGTATGTTTTAAGAACAGTCTCAATCTGGGAGAAAGATGGCTATAAATCTAGTAGTAATTGTTAATGCATTTGTTCCCATTTTTTATTGATGAGAGATGGGGTGGAGGAGGTCAGTACTGTCTTGTGAGGTATGAGTCCAGCTGCTAATCAGCTCCAAGGGCCACCTTATTTTTGGATCAAGTACTTTCAGCAACACAGGAGATAATTTGGGTAATGTTGGAGATTCCAATAGAACAATAAATAGGGCACACATATATAGTCCTTGCAAGAGATAGCACCCAGCAGACAGTAAGGTTTGTCCATCCCAGTGCTATCTTTCTGATGCTCCACTAGAGCCGGAAAAAAACCCAAGTACCAGTCATATATTCACTGTCCTGGGAACAGCAATATGGGGAAGAGGAGAGAAGGGAAGCACAGCTGTGGCTAACTTTTTCTATCGGGGACCCTGTATAGCCAAGCTACTTGACTATACAGAACAAATCCTATTCCCATTATTGGCCTCATGATACTACGTAAGCTGTTTCTTCAGGGAAGCTCATAAACACAGGACAGGAACTGAAACTGGGTTGCAACCTGGCTTTTCAGAGTTTTATGGAAAGCTTGGGGAAATTACGTTTCTGTATTCTGGCATTCTGGAAGTAGCACTCCTCACAAGGAATGTTTCCAAGCTCTGATTTCAAGGCAAGAAGAGAAACATCCTCTTGTACTCACTGGGCATGGAAATCAATCACCACTGGCTTCTGACTTTTCAGAACTCTGTCTTGGAAGTCATCCCCATCTTGGACGTTAAAGGTGTGCCTGAAGACCTGAGTGGTGGAAAAAGTCCTTCTTACTGCAGGTGTGGTAGTGAAGGAAAGGGGCCCACACCAAGCAACACCGCATGGCACAGCTGGAACCCGGCACAGGAGTAGTGAGGATTGGGAACGAAATGGCACTGAGAGATGCTTGATGGGGAGAGACATGAACGGTCTGAGAAGTTTCTGGGCCATCTGGAAAAGAAAGAACCTAAGTATCACAATGGAGAAACAATAACAAATGGTACACATGCTACCCCTGGCATAACATTTGTGCATTTCCCTCTCCAGCCTCTCTTTACCAGTCTGTTTCATAGCCACTTTCTCCCTCTACTTGGTTTTAAATGGAGCCAGTTCACATCATCCAAGTTGTTGTTGTCTATAATTTAGGTTCACTACCCCAGTTCTAACCATGTTTTACCATGGCTGGTGCTGCTTTATTCATGCCCCTTGACTTGCAATGTCCTTTATAGATGGCATGTACAACCTCTGATGGACTAATTGTATTTTTAGACACATGGCTGCATACATTTAAGCATTGAACATGAGTCAACAGT